TACACACACACACACACACACACACACACACACACACACACACACACACACATATATATATATATATATATTTATACATATATATATATATATCGGATCTCAGTCATATTTGTCACTCTGTATCTACTTGAACACTACTTCTGTTCCAAAATCAGTATGACCGATTTTGTGCAATTTCTGAGCGTATGTACCCCTTTTCTTCTTCTAATTGATCTTTTTTCTGCTATGTCTACCATGTAGGGATGCGGGTACACACGCTTTGCCGACGATCCGCTTAAAGTCAATGGACAGATTTTGTCTGTTGAATCGGAGACGGATGGTTCAGACCTCTTGGTGGTGTGTTTATTGATTTATCAAATAGTTTGAGTCATTCTACCGTGTCCATGCGTGTGTACATAAATCGCATGTCAGCCTTCCGGATGAGTCGAATCGTGTGAATTACGGACATTTCATATGTCCCGATCCGTTGTCGTGTCAAATCGTGTGAACATGTACATATAAGTAGGCCGGATTTGCACGGTGTTTTATTAACTGTTTCAGCTGTAGGTGTGTTCCCGTTTCCACTGTTGATAGGTCGGATATGTTCAGTAAATTGTTTTATACACTGAGGTTGTGCATATGCATCTGTACACATATCAATATTTAATAATTTCAGCTTGGTTGCTGTGTCTAGGCATGTGTAAACTGTACTAATATGACGTAAATACCCTTTACATACGTTCTTTCAAAATAATCCATTCAGAAGTGTGCCGTAGAACCCGCTCGTAACTTCATAAGGCAACAAGATACACTCATTGTGTGGCAGGACACCGAAGGCTTAGACATTGCACTCAGCTTTCAGGAATTAGAGGGCTGTGTGCAGGTCTGGGCCAGCCTCAATGTCGGCCAGGAACCCGCTGTCGTGATAGAGGACGGTATGCATTGTGTCTGTATTGTTCTCAATATATATGTATATATTTAATGTAGTTCGTGAGCTGTTGACTTTGTCTGTTGTATCTGGAGATGAAGGATGTTACACTGTGTGGCGTACGCAATACATAAGGGGGGGGCATGGGTGGGTCTGGGCTAGTGCAACTGCCGGTCAGGTGTAGGTTACCATGATTGAGGTACTGTGTGATCTTCTCACTCTCGTTGCTGGTACAATTCAAACATATGGTTCCTATAGTTCCTATTTGTCTATGTACAAGCAGAATATGTGATATATGGCGTGGTCAATACTTAAAGGGGCGTGTGTGCAGTTTTATATTTTACGTTATTTTGGGACAAGTTTTGCACGGAAACACGAGTTCTATGTTAGTTTATTGCGACAAGGCCTAAACGGAGCCAGTCTGGGACTGTTGGTTGCAATCACTGACCGTTGCGTATGCTCGTTGCAAGGCTTGCACTTTATTTAAAGTAGATGTACCCGGTAGACTGTACAATTGTGGCTTATTGTGTGCAAACTCAGTGCTAGACTACAGTTGTACGGTGAATTTACAGACGTGTCTCGCTTGTATATTGTAGCAGAGAAAAACAAGTACACAGCAGTATCAGTTGCGCAGTTGACTACATCGCAGTGTAGAATATAAGCATACAATAGCTTTACCGATGTGACATGAGTGTATATGGTAGTATAGTATCGCAAATTTATGGATCTTTCTGAGTGTACATGAATCGCATCTAGCAGCGCATATGCGATTTAAGAGCATTTAACATATGTACCTATATTGTATATTGTAGCATGGATATCATAGTACAAAGTATTTTTGGTTAATAGGGTACATTACCACTCTATGCTATGCAT